CAAAAATTCGATGAAGGAGAAAGAGGCGTGACGCTCGGCGGCGAAGGGAAAGTGAATGAAGGAGCTGATTGGCGCAGATTCTAGATTATTTGTGAGGTATGACTGCATGGAGACCAGTGATAGGTGAGACATATTTTAACTTGGATCGATAAGAGTAGTAGTATACGCTAGCCGTTTCACGGAGGGTGTACCAAGTTTGATATTTCTGCGTAAACATCCGAGAGTATGGTTAGTAAACTCAATAACAGAGGTTATGAGAGTAATGTCCTTCAAATACTACTCAAATACAGAGCGTGAAACTTGCTGCGCTTTTCGCACCATAAACAACAAAGAAGATCAGAACATAGGAAAAGCGGGCATTTATATTTTTCTTTGAAATTAAACTCGCGCTAACTACATGGTTTTCCTTGATGTTTTTCCCGCCTATCTTGTGCCAAACTAATTTTATTCGTATACTGCAACTTTCCTTGATTCTTGGCACACTAGACCTCTTTATTTTCGCAGGGTCTTTTTTTTTTTTTTTTTCTTTTGCCGGGAGTGAAATTTAAAGACATCAAACTATAGAAACAAAATGAAGTGAAAGGTTTTGAAGATGATCAAATACCTCTCGTTCTATCTGTATTCAAATACCTTCCTGATAAGGTCAAATTTATTATTTTGGATTTTACGCTGAGCGTGGTATCGCGTACTTCTCATGCGCGAAAAGAATTCCGCTTCTGCCGTGCCCCTTCCACGGTGTAAGAAAAAGCCTTATCAAATACAGTGGCACATAAACAAGGCTTTACTTTATAGCTTGAGGCTTGAACTCCTGCACAGAGACCGCGCGTATACCAAAACTAGCACTGAAACTCACGCACTCGTCCCCAACTACATATCTGTAGACTGGGGGAAGAACGAGAAATCTAAAATAAGATCTTCAGTGCAGAGGTCGCTGTCATTGCTTCTGGCGTCTCCAAGCTAAATACGCTGCAGAGCACAAAAAAAAAAAAAAAAAAAACCACAGAAAAGCTGGTCGCTTCGCCGGAACCTGTCATCTCGACGGGCAACCCTGACGCGACGCAGGCGGGGTCTTTGAAGTGGATGACATCTGGATCGCGCAGCAAGGACTGTTGGTCTCGGATTCTCAGAAGGGGGAGGCAAAACATAAAAGCTAAGGAACTCGATGATGGATGAAATCCAGCAACGAACACGCATATTCGTCACCTCGGTTCACAGCCGAAGAGACGAGTGAAAGACTTGGATGGGACGAGATAGAGCTAAGCTGTCTTGCCACTCTTGTGTCAACGGCGAGTCAACCGTGCTAGCTTCCGCTGGGGAGGGAGTGCAAATACGCACGTTAACGACATGAGACTGAAACGCGAATGGAGAAAAGACATCAGTCAAAATCACCGAATAGAGTGTCACGTATCACCATGTGCTTTCAGGTTTACGCGACTAATAGAACCAAGTAAGAGAGTTAGTCGTGAATAGAACAGCCGTCGGACTGCCGGTGACAATCAGTTCGTCGAACGACGTTTCATCGACAGATCGTTTCGTCGACACTGCGATGTTTCATCGACACGTCCTGTATCTCATCGTCAGTCTTTCCGTGCACATTGCTCGAGGACAGACAGTTGCTAGCCGCGATGTAACGCATTGCAGAAACCGGATTCGTGTGAAGCGTCTGCGCATGTGTCTTGCCGACAGCAGCACCACCGCAGCGGCGTGACGTGAATGCCGTGCGTAACACCAGAGCTATTAGTTTTTATATCGAAAATGTGACACGAACTTTCGTGGCAATATTGGCGCACAATCACCTCAGCCCCTCACTCCACCTCACGCTCACTTTTAGCCCTTCACTGACCCTCACAAACTCACAGCCCTCACTCACCCTCACACTCATGAATCTTCGGGGTTCAGAAACTCACCCTCACCTCACTTGTGAAGATGAGGGTGAGTGAGGATGAGCAAGGACACTCATGGGTGAGGTTTGCTAGGGTATACGCCACCAATAAGCAAAACTCCGCCTATTCAGCGGCGCCTCGCTGATCTGAAGCGGCGAGCAAGCAACCTCCCGACCATTCCGACCCAGCTAGCTTCCTTTTTTTCTCTCAAACGTAACATGGAAAACGGCCAACCTAACGCATGCAGTTGCGCAAACCGCGCTATCAAATAGCGCCAAGCAGCGAGCCTCAGCTCGCACTAACTCCTTTCTAACCCGTTACCCAATAATCAAATCGCATCCAGCATCCGCGCGGATGTTGGATGCGATTTGATTGGAAGGCGAGCGTTGACTCCGCTTCCCGGGAGATGCCGCGAGAGGTCACAATACCCCGACAATACCCACTGCGACCCCTCACAAGTTCCCTACACCTTCAAGTGAAATCAGGCCTCACAGAGAACTCACCGTCTCGCACGAGCCCCACACGCAGACACAGGTGATTCATTTGAACTAAGATCCCCCACGAACTGATGCCCCTTACTCCCCTCACCGCCCTCACGGCCCTTGCACCCCTCACGCACTCATAACCCTCGCGCACACACGGTTTTCACGGTCCTCACACCCCCACTCATTCACGCCCTTGGCCTCACGCCCCTCACACCCATACCCCTCGAGCCACTCACGGTCCTCACACCCCTCACGCCCCTTGTGCTCTCACCGCCATCACGACCCTCACGGTCCTCACACCGCTCACTATTATTTGCCGCTCACGCACTCATGCCCCTCGCGGTCCTCATGCCCCTCACGCACTCGCCGCTCCTCCCAACCCTCACTCACCCTTACACTCATGAATTTTCGTGGTTTAGAAACTCACTCGCCCTCACCTCACCTGTGAAGATGGGGGTATTGAGTGAGGGCCCTCGTGAGTGAGGTTTGCCGAGGTGTGTCTAGCAGGACGCAGCAAGGTAAGCACTTCGGCACAGCAAGGTAAGGACAGGCCCAAGCAGCAGCCAAGCAGCTGCTGCTTAGGCGCTGTACAAATTATCACCTCCCATCTTCACAAAGGTGTCTGTAGGTAATGCATTTATTATAATCAAATTGTTTTGAGTGTAAATGTCAAAAATAATATTTATAACAAAAACAATTTTTTTTCCCTTTTTTAATACACACGGAGGGAAACTAATACCCCATTCACACGACCAGCATAAAGGTACCTTTAACATAGGTCCCTTTGCAGCCAGCGAATCAGCCCGCGCTAGTAGATCGCGAGCATATGACACGCGCGGAGGATTGCGAACTGATTCGCCTTTCGCCATAAAGGTCCCTTATCTAAAGGGACCTTTATGCTCGTGTGAATAGGGTATTAGAGCTATCTGGTTAACGCTGCTACCCGTAGATGGCACCACACACACTCACGTTAAGATCTGCTTTCGGGTATTCAGTAAACTGTTTAAACCGCTCTCTTCCCCGTGCTTAAAAAAATATTTTTTGCTTGGTTTTTCAATCTACATTTATAACATTTGAGTGATAAATGCAGCACCTAAAGACACCCTTGTGAAAACTTTAATTTCACTCAGTTTCACTCAATGTAGATGGAAGTAAACGAATGATAAATTCTTATGCCATAGTGGTCAGAAACAGCTTGTGGAATATGTTTCCCACCTAAGTGAGCAGACGGAACTCTGTACACTGGACAAACATAGAGACTTAATAGATGGCGCAGCCTAAAGTCACTCGATTTTGGGAAGTACCGCTAAGCTCTCCGTATGGTCGCCATTTTGGTCTGTGAAATGAGCAATTTCTCCTTGACCCCTCTGTTCTTTGTGAGCCAACCTAAATTCACTGGCGACAAATAGCTTTATGGAGACGTGGTGAAACAATGGAGACGTGACGAAACAAGCGTACATCTTCGTACCCCACCCCATGCCGTGTTGCTGCTTGGAGGCACTGAAAAATAAGGTTACTGTTTTGAAATATGCAAGAACCATATAATTGTAAGAGATCCGTGGAGGTGGGCATGATTGATAAGTTAATTGCATACACAGTGCCAAAGACGCTTATACTGGCAAGGAACGCTTCCAGTACAATGATGCTCTATGGTGATCTTGGCGCGACTGGTTTAGAACGACCCTCTGGAAGCTTCGAAGATTTGAATGAACCGAGATGGCGATTTCCATGGCAACATAGACAGATTAGCCAACTGCCTTGCGAGGTTTCGATTGTGTGTATGTTAGTATCCGTTTGTATCCAGCTAGCAGGCAGGGAAGCCAATGGCACAACTTTCCCAGGATCCCCAGAGCCACTGGGTAAGGCTATGCTTCAAAGTAACAACTCGTGGCCATCTTGGCGCTCAAAAATCACAGTTGCCTATCAACCGAGGCTTCATCTGGAATCGCAGGAAATGCTTTTTCCGTCCTCCAGAAATGTCGGAACAGTTTGCGACGGAGCAGAATGATGTCGCCCAAGCTCCCACCCCGCTGTGTCCGAACTGAAGGAAGTCCGCGTTATTGATTGGTACGATAGCCAGTTGCGACCGCTCTGCAGTGAGCACCAAAATAGCGGCGCCCTCAAAAATCCATTTCTGAATTTTCTTTCTTGCCAACTCAAAAATCAAGAACCTGCCAAAGGAATCTCGAAAAGCCGCTAAATTTGAGGCGCAGGCCAAGAACGACCGTAGTATATTTTTGTTTACCCCGCGAGCTTGGTTTGACCCCATTATACTTCCATGCGCCGTCGCAGGCGTGATCGTCAACGGTGACAGTTTTGTTGAGAGTAAGCAAAAACGACCACACGACTAACTTACCACAGAAACTATTTACGATAGAGAAGCCTAAACTGAAGAACATTTTAATTTTAGACCGGCTGAAATCACGCCAGCACGACTGAAAACCGCCGAAATTCCCCCCAACCGCAATTTTTCCCGGTAGACAACTCAACAAACCACTAAACTTATAGGGAACACTGCCAAATTGGCAACACTGAGCCACAGCCTGCATTTCTCAAGCTGTGAAGCGACTAAGCCGTCAATCCGTCCAAGGAATAGAAAGACGCCGTATCACAAAACAAATAAGACACGCCGTTACCATGTAACAATTTTATTTCATGGTTCGTCTCAAATACTAGGCAAGGAAGCCAGGCACCTTAGTTGTATATTATAATTATGCTCTTTCACAAGCTGTACCAGGTGACAGCCTCGACCATACACAACGTGATATGCGCACAACAAACAAAAAACGTGCGCCGGGCAATTGCGGACTTATGCGTTTCTTCGCAGAGTCCCCGGCACAATATGGGAGTGGAGGGGGGGGGGGGGGGGAAGTTCTGGCGACAAGAGACAACGAAAAACGGAAATAGTAACTCTTGCAAAAAGTCCTTCCCCGTCGATTCTTTTTTTTTTTTGTACTTTCGTTCGCAATGTTGACTTCCGCAAAACATGAGAGGGCCTGGAGGCAAGTGCCGCTTGCTACACTTTTTTGAACTGTACACCGATGCAGAGCAAAAAAAACAAAAAGATTGCTTTAAATTAGCCCGCTGTCCAGTCCCCTCTCTCCACACGTGAAACACGAGCCGTCCGGGATAACGCAAACGACTAAGGCAAAAGGAGCGGATTATGCGGGGTTCCTGTCGTGCGCTTGCTACATCCGCGCACTACCCGAGAACCATGACGGACTGGAACAAACTGCTGCGATGACAGCTGCTACCACTTGCCTCCATAGTTGCGTGGCACAATTCTCTAGAGGAGCAGACTTCACGCATATACACGCACACACACACACACACCAAAAGCCCAGACCCATTCTTACGGTGATGGATACCATTGCAAGGGCAGCCACTTGTCTAAACTATCGTTGATTCGTCCGAACCACGTTTTCCGGCGAAAGCCCGCTCAACCCTGACACACAGCTTACAAAAGGATGCACCAAATATGCAATGGATTATTCACAGATGGATTCTTTCAGGTGTGACGGAACACTGAAGAGAGCAATACGGAGTGCACCCAACCAAAATTCCGCACAAAGCGTACGCCCAGATGTACTAGAATGTTTAGTTTGAACCTTTGGAAAGGAAACGGCACCTCCAAGACGGTGAAGGGACGATGAGAAGTTTGTACAAGATGATTTCCCTTCTTGCGTTTCTTGTTTTTTCCGGGGCGGCACAGAGTTGTCGCGCAACACTCGTTTGAGAATGTTTTGAAAAATAATTTACATCCTTTCATCTCGGCTGTACTCTAAGATCGACCTTAAACTCGTGCGGATGTTCACACAAAAAAAAGAAAGAAAAAGAGAAAAGGACTGTTGTGTTTTGCGAGAACATGCTCAAACGACTTTGTAAGCTAAGGTTTGTGAGGAAACCGTTCTTGTGAAACATATTGCACAATCGCGACACAGGCACAGCTAGTGTTGGCCACGAGAGGTTGCCAGGAAAAAACTGTGGAATCCGCGCAGAGGGTACAAGGTGCACAAGGAGTCCACAAATGGGCTCGTACAAGAAATCCTGTTAGCATCCTTCACACCCAACTAAAACTGCTACGCATTGCAAACAGAAAACGCTGAAGAGACCGCAGTCTATTTGGCACGAAAGAGTCGAATGATATGCCCGCTCACTCAACAAACCAACCTGTTCTTTGCATTCAATACCGGAAGAAAAACGAGAGCAACAACACTAAAAATACCCCTGTTTGATCTAAAATTGCTATCTTGTCAAAAAAAAAAAAGCATCTCCAGCTTTGAGCAAAGCTAGACTCACTTCAGACGTTTCCCATCCAACAAACAAGTGCACGCCCCCTCTAACTCCCTCCCTTTCAAGTAAACAACGTAAAAAAAAACCCAAAAAACTTGTTCGTGCCACGAGCTTCGAAAAATCCCGGAGACGGTCGACCCGACCAAGAATGAAGCTCCCTGTACTGACTAGACTGAAAAAAATTAAAACAAGGAATAAAAAAAAAAGGTGAATTCTCCCTGCCCTCGATTGAAGCCACGGCATGCTTGGCAAACAAAGTGCGAGCAGTCTCCGCAACAGAAAACCAAACACCCGCACTACAGAGCTTGTTCAGCCCCGCGGAAAAAAACTTTCCGTCTAGTCCTTCGGCCGAAATCACACGGAACAGTCCACCCTAGCAGACGAGGAACCCGTTTTCACACCTGGCACGTAACCAACCGTCACGCTCCTCGGGCTGGCGACGTCCATCGCCACCGGCAGCGACACGTAACCGTTCGTCGCGCCGTCGGACGGATGCGGAGATCCGTCGGACCCGTCCGCACTGTCCCCAGACGCGGAACGTCCCCAGCCGATGGCTGCGTTGTGAGACACGTAGTCGTCAGCCGGCTGCGGACCCCTCGCAGCAGACTGCGCCGGCGCATATCCGTTCGTGGACGCACTGTTTCCGCCGCTCGGTTCGTCAAATGGACACTTCAAAACGGCTGCGGCTGACACGTACCCCAAACCCGGCGCCGCACGCACCGGCGAGAGCGTCTGCAAGGGGAACGGGCGCCCCTCACCCGAGAGTAAACAGTCGGCGGGTTCACCGGGAGGCGAAGTGCTCGAGAACGAGAAGTCCTCCAGCGATGCGTCGTTGCTGTTCTCGCCGGCACCGATGGCCACGTCGTCCGAGGACGACTCTCCGTCGTAGGAAGCGTCGGGCCGGACGCCCTCGTACGGTGGCACGTACGGGCCACATCCGTTTGGTGCCCCTACCATGTGGTGAAGGGGAACGTACCCCGAATCCGTCGGCGGGGTCTTCGTTGGCGGCTGGATCCCCAGCTTCGAGTAGCCGGGTCCCGCGGATGACGAATCCGCCGGATGGACCTTCATGGCTTGCCCCACGGTTACGTAGCCGCTCGGCGGCATCGCCGCGCGGACGGGCGCCGAGATGTCCTTGATGTGCGGCAGGACCCTGGGCTGCTCCAACATCATCCCGACCGTCAGGTCCCTGCCTCCCGTCCCCAAAAAGGGTGGGACTCCGCCGCGGAGCGCGAGCTGCGAGTACGGCATCGCTGGCGGGCCGCCCTCCCTCCTTCTTGCGGCCGACGGCGGAGGCGGCGACCGACACACGGAGTACGGCCCCGGCAGCATCACTTCGTCGCTGCTCCTCGCCAGGCCGAACTTGCTGTAGGGCGCTGACGGCGTCCGCACGCGCTGCGGCGAGCCGCCCGGAATGTCGAGCAGCGAGGGCTCACTGCTCGCGAGCAGCTGGCTCTGGAGACCCGGCGTTTCCGCGACGGCCGCACAGACAGCCAACTTGCTGTACGGCTCTTGAGATGGACCGTCGTTCGGCGCGGACGGCAGAGCTCTCGGAGCGTTGCCGGCAGTGTCTAATCCGGAGTCCTGGCTCTCACGGTCCTTATCCTCGTCCAGCTTGGGGAGGTTGGGGCGGCAACGGGGCGTGGTGTTGTGGGTAGGGAGGACGCAGTCCGGGGAAGGGGGTGCGGCCGGGTCGCTCTCGGCGCCGGAGTCGCACAGGGAGGAGGTGCGTGCCGTGCCGGCTGAGACGAGGCTGTCGTGGCCGTTGGTGCTGCCCCCGCTGCTGTCCCCGCTGGGGTTGCGACCCGGGGTGTCGGTGCGTCGGGTCTTCTTGTACAGCAACTGCAAGGTGGGCGAGCAAGGGAAAGGGCGTTTAGCGTCTTCCCCACTTTGAGAAGCCTGTGGACGGCGTCTGGTCCTCCGCGAATAATTTCAAACACTCCTGTTTTTGTCGAATGCATAAAGTAAGCTCCCTGGAAGCATTGCGGTAAACTGTGATAGCGCCGTATCTTTCACTAGTCAAAGTGAAACCATTGTGTTTTCGTGAAACGACCTAGTCATTCACACTGAGCGTACATGTATTACTAAATTTTGAAAAGAAGTGGTCAATCCCAGTGGAAGATTGAGGATTTGAGCGAATCAATCAGTCAAGAGCCCCAGTGAACAAACTTCTCTACACCTGCCAGGAGCCTACGAATTCCTCAAGTTCTGTGCCAGCGCGTCATTTCACGCCAGAGGCGGTACAAAATCACTAATCTCAAGACGAGATTTCTGCACAAAATGTTTTGGGAGTCGAGTTGAATACTGTGGGCGGTTTATATTCAATCGTCTGGCAATGGAATCTTTGTATTTTAAGTGAAGCAATAAAATGCCGACTTCATGCTCGAGTTGCCTCCTAAAGTCGCGAGCAACGCGTTCTTTCACGGTTGCCGAAACCGGCACCAATGCGTGAAACTTGCGCCCGACTGCCCTTCCACGCTCACCTCGTCCGTAGAAGAGCTGCTGCCCTGAGAATGGCCAGAGTCGTGGCGCTTCTTAGGAGCGTGGTCAGCGGCGGAAAAGCAGCCCATCCTGCCATAGGGAATGTGGGGGCTGGGATTGGCATCCGTGCCCCGGTGGACAGACCCGTTCCTCATGTTCTTGTAGCTGTGCATCTGGTTCTGATGGGAAACACAAGCATAGGAGGGGGGAGAGGGGGGTCAGGAACCAGAAACTATTAGCTGCGAAAAACTTTAAACCTGTGCACTGACCAAACGCTCTATAAATGCGAGCTGCCTAAACTCACGCAACACACACTTTGAAAGATGACACTCATTTGAAAGCGTGTTAAGAACTGCGTGCCTAATCCCCTTATATTCCCTCTATCGTACCCACCCATACGAGAAATGCTCTTAGAGTTTAGGCATGGCTGAATCATTCATTGATGCATGACAAAGAATTAATACTTCAGTCCCTAGTCTGCGTGTATTGCAAAGCTTGTCGACTAGCCTTTGGGATGAAGAATTCTTTGAGATATGAAAAAGCTTTGCAGGTCCTCTGCACTGATAACCCCAATTCATCACAATGAAAAAAAAAAACGAGTAACTGATAAGAAATCTTACAGCATTTGCAGAGTCCAACCCGTCGGGAAGCTGAATCTTGATCTCTTTAATCATGTCGACCTTTTTCTTCATCCTGTAAAAGCAGAAAGGGCAGCATGTCTCAGTCCAAAAGCTCAGAAAAGCAAGAAGCATTGAGCACTCGTTCACGAGGACCAACAGTAGCCGAACACAGTCTAGTACCGTGCAACAAACTAGGAATTGGGGACATGGTCACTATGCCCAAGAGGCGAAAAAGAAGGAAGTCAGCTCACCATCGTGCCAGCAGATACAGGACAAGGACGAGCACAGTCAGTCCTAGAGCCCCTCCCACTGCCACTCCAATGACCAATGAGATGGCGGGACCTGAGGGAAACAAAACATCAGTCCACATCAGAAGCCTATAAAAGATTGCAACCATCCACAATTTGGAGTCATAAAAACATGTACAAACTTACAAACCCCATCAGAGCAGAAAAGACTCCACAGGTTCACCCCCAATATTTTGAGAGGCGACAAACAAACAAACAATTTCCAAGCCTAGGGAGTCACGAAATAGTGCAATAAAAATATGATAATGCGGCCAGTTGTCTTTAGAAAAGACTGCATTCCCTGGTGGGAATCGAACCACCAACCTCTAGCGTAGTAATCGAGTACCCTACCCCTGGCACTAGAGGAGCAGCTTTGGTTAGTGTAGTTATTTAGGTGGTATACATGTACCCGCACTGCCGCAAAAACATTGTCACCTCAATGATAAGAAGAGCTCAAACACCCCGCACATTCTATCTACCGACTTCATCCGTAGGACTAAGGTGCATTAAAATTTTTAGCAACATCTTAATTATCACATTTAACCCCTTAAGTGCCAAATTTTTTTTCCAAAAGTAACCTAAATGTGCCAGATTTTTTTTTTTATTTTGAATTGTTACCCCTCTAGTATCACACATAAAATTTGAAAAGTTTATCACACAAAAATCAGCGGAGGTGAAAAAAATATTTGCCAACTAATACGAGTGCTGCCATCTAATATCAGCGCCGCAAAACTACTCGGACGAGCCGAGTTCGTCGGTGGAATTGAGGGCAACCGAAAAAAACCACTGGACGAGCTGAGCTTGTCCATGGCATTTTTAGCCAGAAAGTGGGCGACGAGCTCAGCTCGTCTAAGGCACTTAAAGGGGTACTCCGCCGATTTTCGAGCTACCTCAACTAATTATATTTTCTGACTCCCCGGCCTTTACCCTTTCTGGTATGCTATTTAGTATCGTGAAATTCATAATAGTTATTGCGAAATCGGCAAATGAAAATGATGCAAAAACCAACATTTAAATATACCCGCCCTTTTCAGTGCCGTGACGTCAGTGGAAGGTAAGCTTGCCAGTCGGGCGAGCAGTCTAAAGAATAGAATATGCCAATCATTTCCCAGTTAAAAATAACCATTGACTCCAATTAGGATATTCAATTGGAACCAACTGGAGTCAATGGAATTCAATTGGTTCTGGGTCATCCAACTGGTCATTCTAATTAGTTTCAATGTTTCCAATTGGTTACACCAACTAGGAACAACAAAATTCAACTGGCACTGGGCCACCTAATTGGTCACTCTAATTGGATTCAATGTTTCCAACTGGTTACCCCAATTAGGACCAACTAAATTCAATTGGCACTCAGCCACCTAATTGGTCACTCTAATTGGATTCAATGTTTCCAACTGGTAAAATTCAGTTGGCACTGGGCCACCTAATTGGTCACTCAATTGGATTCAGTGTTTCCAACTGGTTATCCCAATTAGGATCTATAAAATTCATTTGGCACTGGGTCACCTAATTGGTCACTCTGATTGGATTCAATGTTTCCAACTTTATGTTTTCAATGTTTCCAATTGAATTTGATTGATCTCCGATTGGGAACAATAAAATTCAATTGGCACTGGGACAGAACTTGCCATTATCTCTTTGCTCACCACAAAGTTTCCAAAGATCGCAATTATTAATTTTTTTTTTTTTTTTCAGTATTGCGTTGCAAAAAATTTTTTCAACATCGCATTTGAAAGAGGAAAAAAATTCGTACGCTATTTAATAAAAAAAAAACGAAAAAAAAAAAATCTCTTTCTAGAATTAGTCGGAATTGCCGGCAGCGTCGGTGTACACTGGGCGGCAAAGATGGCGCCTCGAGGACGGAGGAAGCATGAAGCACATGGCACCGATGGCGTGTACGGCATTCGTAGCATGGTTATGGCAATGATTCAAGAAAGTTCTATTGTGTTTTACTGCTGCAGAGTGCTCAATGGTGCGGTGATAATTACTTCATTTGACCTGCCAGCTTGTTAGAGCGCGAATGAGTGGCAACAAACGTTTATGGGAGCAAGGTAAGAAATTTTCTTTGTCCTTGCTGCACTGCAGTTTTGGGATTTCGGATTGTTAGATCTGCTGAGACACTCGTTGTTTGATCTTCAGTAAACGATGCGAGCGTGAATATATAGCTTTAGAGAAGAAAATTTTCCGGGCAGCTATCAGTTCGGAAGTTGTTGGGTATCCGCGAGGAAAGTTAAGTGCATTTTAAGCATCTCAAAACTGAACTATGAATTGCTGAAAACACTGACTGGGCACAGTTTCAAAAATTGAAGCTTTGGGATTCAAAATTAAGCAATTTCGGGGGAATGTTCGATAAGTGGGGTGGGGGGGTCGGTTGGTCGGTGATATCGGGTCATTACTTCTGGAAGTTGATGACTTGTAATAAAATAACAGTAGGTGCCGAAAATTTTGCATCTCATCCGGCGGACTATTTGCAGCTATGTTTCAAAATTTACTCTGTCTCACTCAGGGTAAGTTCAAAAACCTACCCGCGTCTTGCGTTGCCTCTGATCCATTCGAGTAAGATTTGGAACACAGCCTGCAATGCATGATTTCTTTTCGAGATATGAAAGACACTTATTTTTTCACCCCTGCACACTTTAAGCATATTTCAGGTGCACTGGCCAGCTTTACAGAGATGCCTTTGAATTGGCTGTTTCTTCTCCTTATAGCAGAGATTATGTCTCACAGGCTCATAGGAAACTTAGTAGTTTTAGACCATCCCAGATGCAAATTTAGCCCAGTCTCGGCAAAAGCTTCATCTCCTAATTTTGACCAGAGTGTTTCAGTCACCCAGGGATGTTTGCCTTTTAATGCAAGGCCTGCAGGTTTATACCACTGCAACTAATTTCTTTGCAGCGAAAAAAAAAGTTTAGTATGTTTCTAAGCTTGATTTAAACATTTATAATCCCATAAGGTCATTTAATGCATATTTATCCTTTATTTTAGGGAAGCTGCAGCTGCTATCCTGGAAGAAAACGACGATGCCTAGAAGCAAGAAATCATTTCTAATAAGTTAAATAAAGACTGTGTGATTATCTACCTTTAGATCTAGTTGCAACTTTTTCTAGTTTGGGATATCCAAACACTGATGGTTGTCCCAATTCGTATTTGTCAATATGATTTGAACAGTTGGACCAATTGCTTTTTTCCTATTGGGAGTCCGAAAACAGAAATAGGTTTTTTCCAATTGGTTGCATCCTATTGACAATGCCGAACTGGTTCGAATTGGTGATGTTCAATTAGATTTCGACAATTGAAACCAATCGACTTTTTCTAACTAGGAGTCCGAAATCACAGATAGGATTCCCCATTGGTTCTAATTGTCGATACCTAATTAGAACCAATTGACTTTTTCTAACTAGGAGTCCGAAATCACAGATAGGATTCCCCATTGGTTCTAATTGTCGACAACTAATTGGAACCAATTGACTTTTTCTAACTAGGAGTCCGAAATCACAGATAGGATTCCCCATTGGTTCTAATTGTCAATAACTAATTGGACCCAATGGTTATTTTTAACTGGGTTGTTCCGTGCTGAAGCGCGGGTCCTGGAGCGAGCTTCCGAAGCATTGATTTGACACCATGAAACTGCTTCGAATCAGTTGGGAACAAATTCTACAGTCCAAAGAGTGAACCCCTGCACTTCCACTGACGTCACTTTTTCATTGTTGCCAGTAGAGACTTTCAGTTTGAAAAACACGGTGAGGACCAAAATTGTAAATTCAATAACTTTGTGAAAAATAATTATTTTGACCTAATATTTGGGATACTATTTTGGCGATGTTGTTTGGCGAGTTTAGCGAAATTTCAAGCAAATCGGGGACCATGAAGAAATCGGCGAAGTACCCCTTTAAGGGGTTAAAGGGGTCACATGAAACGCTTTTCCAACTTTTTCCTGTTTAGCTTTCCTCCTCAACTCATAAATCGCCCATTCCACCAAACAGTTAAAGAAGACGAAAAGAAGGGAGGCCCCCTCTCGCTCGGAATCTGGTTTGTGTAGCCGGCCAGAGCCATTGTCCCCCTAGAAGATTAGCTCGTCGTTCAAAATTCAGACAAAAGTTGCTTTCCCCACCCCGTTCATCCTGATGCTGACAGTGCTGTTGAAGCTACGTGCTCGTTGGGCCAGCCACACTTGCAACGTGAGCGTGGCAAATGTGGCTGCAGAGAATGAAGTCAGGTGATGAAAGGGAGGCGGCTGATTGGTCCGGCAAGCGCGTAGCTTCCAGCACAATGTCAGCTTAGGGGTGAAGGGAATAAGTGAGGTTCGGTTGCGTGTGACGTCAGTTTGGACCCGATGACGCACTTTTGGGACCGCGGATGTATCGCAGTGAAAAGGCAGAGAGGTTGCGAAGGGGAGGAGGTACAAAATAGTCCGCTCTGTTTTAAATTTTTCGCACTGAAAGTCGGGCTTTTGACCTGCTACCTTTTTTCTTTTGGTCCACTGAACGATGTGCTATTAGTAAAATCCCAATCTAAAATGATTTATCCCAACCCAAAAATCGTTTCATGGGCCCTTTAAACACAGTTCAGCTTCTTTGTTGCCTTTGTCGTCCGCCAGGTAGTTACTTCATACCATTCTAAAAACGGACTTCGAATTAAACCAACCGAGAGCTCCAGTTGTCTAGATGCACAATCCGCCAGAGATGACATGGGATGGGCTATGGACCTGCCGGTTTTACTCAGTGTATGCTTCTCCACGACTACTCAAGTGATCCTCAGCTCATTTCTACGGAAAAGCTTGTCGATTTCCGTCCCAACAGACCGCCAATCAAGATGAGGGAAGCTCGTCTTACCAACAGACTCCGTCCTGGCACACTGCACCGGACTGTCGTCCGTCAGTCTTCCGTTGGAGAGGGCGCGGACCACGGCCCGGTAGACCGAGTTTGTGTCCAGACCATCTAGGAGACGTTCCTCAGCATCCGCGTTGGTCACGTTGTAGACTTTGCAGCTCTGAGGGTCATACCTGCTGTACTGGCAACCTGGTGAGAAACAGTAAAAAACAAGAAAAGGCGCTCATTAGTATGTAACATAAAACACAACAAATGAACCCTGCGGCAAGTGCCTACAGTTTTTGCCGTTCACACGGAGATTAACATAACGGGCCAGACAAAAGTGTTCCACTTAGCCAAAGTTCCAGCTATGAGAAGAACACTTTGAGAAGACACCACAAACCAAACAAGTATTTTTGCACAGTTCCACGTAAAGGGACGCTGCCAAGGTATCATATTTACACAAATGTCGGTCGACCCATTTTTCAATTTTTGAAAATCGAACCAAAGCATATCACCACCAACAAAAACAAAACAATCGCAACATCAAGAACACCTCGGCTTGTTACTAGTTCAGCCGGCAGTACCTGTAGCATTGTGCTATTCTGTGCGCTCATTTTACAAATTCCTTTTTTTTCTTTTTATTATTTGCACAAACAAGTATTATTGATAGTGATTCGCAAATTTTAACCCAAATGTACGGCAGTGAACAGCACACGGTGCTCCTGACTCCCGGGGGTTGGCGGCACTTCTTGTAAGAGCCACTCCGGAGGCCGCTGAAACAGCATCACGGCTCACTCCCCACGGCTTCTTTTCGCAGTTTTTCTTACGATTCACGGCCGCGTGTCATTTGGTCAACTGTCAAAATCATGCTGGAGCGCGAACTGCATTTTTCTTTTTTTTTGTATTGACATGCGTGACGGGCAGTTTAGGTTTTAGGTGCTTGTTTATGGCCATTCTTCACCCAGAAGCAACCAACAACTGCGCTGTTGGACGCAAGTTCGACCCGTCGGAGCGTGTAATGTGGAGTCTGCAATGGCACGGGATCTTAAACTGCGATGGCAAGCAAAGAGGCTTCCATGGGCCAAAGTCCGGATAGGTAAGGATGCCTTTCGGAGTTTGAGGTCAGACTTACAACGTAAGCCACAAAAGTGCGCAATCAGTCCCTACCCGTGACATGCAACGCGATCGCCGAGCAAGCGTGGAAGATGCGGTTGATGCTCTCATTTGCAAAGTGTGAGATTTCGTTAGAAGACGCCACCGACGTGCTTCGAGAACGTGGAGGTGATGACGACGGGACTGACGTCACCAGTGCGGACGAGTCGTAGTCTAGTCGCGGACGAAGTGAGAACGACAGGGAGCAGCTTTAGTTGTCCTGAGTGAACTTCCTAGTTTTGATAATGCCTGGGCATCTCATGCACCTTGTGCATACACGTGCCGCCAAAGCACGCCACAAGGCATAGATCGCCATGGAAGCTGGACTTCCAAAATGGATACTTTGCCATTCTCTGGCGTTCGCAATAAAAAGCGCATCTAAAGCTTTTTTTTTTTTTTTCTTGCTGATGTGCAATGTGGGGTTCAACTTACAATGGAGTCGACTTACAATCGTGTAAATACGGTACCTGCACTTTCAAGATTTTTACTGAAGCACGACCCAAAGGGGTCCCACTATAAAGAAAAAATATTTGTGGCTTGAAGTCGGGCCTCATTGTTACAGAGAAACACCCGTTTGAGAATCGGGTTTTAAGGAATGCTCTCTCTCTCTCTCTTCCTTAGTCAGGTGCTGCAAGAACACCAATTGTGAATTTTGTCCAAGCTCAAGGCCTTCTAAGGCATGCAGTAGTAATAAAATAAAAAAGATGTACAATAAAACCCAAAGTGTCATGGGAAAATAAGCGCCAAAAAAAACACGGACAAAGAGTAGATTGACAACGACACAGGGCGCACTCTCAACTGAATTTATTAGGAAAAAACACAAACTTATATACCAATGGGAGCACACTATCAGACACCACACGTCACGTCCCACGATGTACCAACTGGCCCATCTAAGCATTTTATTGCCAAAGTGTCAATTCAGAGGATTATTCAGTGCTTCTGCAGGGCTCCGGTACACTTTGCTGCACTGCCCGTCTGACTTCAGTCCGGCTCTATTTCTCAGAAATGATGCGACTGTGCAGCAACAAAAAGAAAACAAAGACGTTTACAACTTCTTGTAACGCCGATTTAGAGCGCAGCTCTTGAGGAGGAGGAGGAGGGGAGGGTACTAAGCGGAAGGTATGCCCCTCCTCCTCCATCCGTACCTTCTCCTCCTCCCTCCTCTCACGTGCGAAACACGCGTCCTCAGGCGACGTTTCGGTGGAAGTCACGGTGACGTTTCGGCACGTGACTTACACTGACACGTCATGGTGAGGTTTCGTCACGTATTGGCACCGCGCTGAAACGTCACTGTGTTGAAACGTTGCGAGTGACGTTCCAACACCGCGCCAAAATGTCTCCGTGCCAAAACGTCGCGAGTGACGTTTCGGCACCGTCCCATAATGCACCGCGTAGTTACGGCGACGGCGACGCCACTCAAGCCGGAAACGGGCGCCTAAGAGCTGCGCTTTAAAACATTGCACCTAGTGTCTCGACACCACAATCGAGTGTTTCAAGTGGAAAAACTGGTATTACCGCGGAATGTGTTTACGGGCCGGATTTCACAGAAAAGCGTAATGCTAGAGCATGGCAAAAAAGCGTTACAAGCAGGCCAAGGCAGCATAAACGATGCGTAGCCCGTAGCGGGGAACGCATAAGCATCCGAAGCATATAGAAGGCGTAATTAGTTGTAAAAATTCATACATGGTCGTAAATAGGAACAAACGATCGAAGCCAGAGATATTCACCAATGAGCTCAGCTGAAATCGAACCCCGGGCCCTGGGATCTGCAATTCAACGTCTCGAATTGGCACCGCAGGTCGGACGCGAATAAGAGTGCAAGCAATTGAACTTGCCGCCAACGGCCGCCTGCCGTAGCACACGACTGTCCGCAGCGAGCGACACTTGGTCTTAGTCCGCAGGTGACCACTGGAGGCAAGTTACACCTAGCATACTTAATCGGCGGTCAACCAACAATGTCGAGTCATACTTACCGCAAAATACCGGGGGAGCGCCCACCTCACTTTCGTTGGGTTAATCTAGGCATGTGCGCTTGTCCGGTCAAACCGGGCGCTTAACATATATTTTGCAGCATCGATCCCCAAGTTTGAGAAACATCAATAGTGGGCGCCCAAATGAAGTGGGTACTTCTGTGGTATCTTAGAGGATACTTAGCCCGCAGGCTATGGGCACTAGCGAGTTGTACTTAGTCCAGCATACTTAGTCCGTAGAAAACTATTAGCGGCGAGTCATACTTAGTCCAACCTAATTTTACTTAAATCCAATCAGGGCCGACACTATGATTCGACGGGGTCCATCAAGCAGTGCAAAGAGTGCGTCACGACGGCGCTCGTTCTTTGTGGGTTAGGCCATCGCTGGCAAAACCAATCGTGCAGAAAAAGCGCAAGATCGTGGCGCCTTCACTGCATGTGACCAGTTCAGTCGGCGATGGCAAACACAGAAAGACGATGGGCGCCGCAATGATACACTTTTGGCACCGCTCGATTGGCTCCACCAAATCGTAGCGTTGGCTTTGGCCAGGCCTAAAGCGAAACGGACTCGCAACATCACGGAGCGAATCATAAGGGATGGCGCGGCAGGCGCATGACGTTAGAACTTAGGACAAGAGTCCATCGATAGAGTAAAGGGCATGACAAACTTGCTCCCCTTGCTATTACTTCGGTTACAAAAGGGGCTCTTTACAGAAAAGCGCCGAGCATTCGAGGCCCTACGCACACCCACCAAAGAATCAGAACCCACAGAAAAATCCTCGTTAAGACGTACTCGTGAGACGCCACATTTTTTAACAAAAACAAAATTAAACTTGTCTCGATCATTTCGATGAACCTGTAGATCAGAAGAGTGCCCAAAGTGCGCAGCACGTCCGAAACCACATGACGCAACGCGTAGCAAATCATAGTGCACGCACGCATAATACATGCACGACACATTCCGTTCTTCGCAGTTTCGTCGAAATGATAGAGGCGATTATTTTCTTTTAGGGCTATCAGTCTCCAGTCAAAGGGATCTGATGTTTGCTTGCACGTGGCCTTGCGACCGGGGTCCACGTGTGAGGCGCCATCGCACTAGATCGGACACACCAAGGACGGCGCGGGCAACAGGGGGCACCTCACCGGCGGCGTCGTGCAGTGCCATGTTGCGGTACTTGTCGGCCACGGCGCACGCCTCGATCTGGTAGCCGTCCACAAAGGACTTGAGGGCACTGCATTCCAGCTGCCACCGCATCAGGAGCGAATGGGGGCCGTCCCTCTCCAGCGAAACCTGGGTGATCTTCTCCAGCTCTGCCGGAGGAAAGGAACCAGAAATCATGCGGGGTAAAACCACGCTGGATGAATATACACTATATGACACCGTTAGAGCCAACGCAACATCAACATTTTGTTTCACATTTCGCTTTGAAAGCGTATTGGGGAATGCTAAATTCTGCCGCTTAGGTCAGTGCTCCAAATGAATGTTTCCCACCACACTACCGTAATATCCCGAGAGATGCCCCACCCCCAAAGATAGCCTGTACAGTTTTGGAATGATTTGCAGATTTTTCTGCTTCTGGTACTTTCACGGCCCTGGCCAATGGTGACCTCGGCAGAAATGACGTTACTTAAAACCCGACGCACAAAAAGGTTTTCCGCAAGGTAGGCAAATCCTCCTTGCCACCGTTCCTATTTCTCCCTCTCCCACTGCTATCTTGACGGAGGCAAACTCCTTTTGTTTGGGCTGGGTAAGCAGCGATGCCATCCCGGCTTATCCAGCCCCAAGATGCAACATTAAGAAGTCTTTCCCGCCGTCAAGTTAGCACTGGGAGAGGGGGAAATAGGAAGGGTGGCAAAGAGGATTTTCCTACCTTGGGGAAAAACTTTTTGTAGGTCGGCCTTTAACCAGGACAAGAGATAAGTGAACACTGCTGACTGGAAAAGACAATCGTCTTTGGTTTGTCACCCCTTCTTGCGATCACGAGTTTCGAGGATCACAACATCTAAAACTAGCATTTTTTCAACTTTTTCTTTCATGGACCACCAAAAGTTAGCTTACCACCTATATACAGTTAAACCTCGATGTAACGAAGTCGGTAAAATTCGCAATTTACTTCGTTACATTGAAATTTCGCTAAATCGAAATTTGGCTTTAGCATGCGAAAAAAAAAATTCCGAAACATTTTGCGGGTATGAAAACTCACCGAAAATGACATTTATTTTGGGGCAAAGTACTCCGCGAGTTTTGCTTGCGCCTTGTCCGACAGTAGCAGCGGCGTCATACGGCATTCGAGCGCCCAGAGCGCTTGCATGGCATCTTGCTGCCCATGCGACGCCGTGTACCTCCTCAGTACGTCCATTGCGTCAAGCACTTCCGAGTGCTCGTGATCTCGGCAGTTTCTTCAGGATGGCGTCCAAAACGTTTGCTTTCTCATCCAAAGAAAGAACTTTACGTTTCCTTATGGCAGCAAGCACGTGAGTGAACCGCCCGGTTGAAAAATAAAGCTGTTTAGTTTAGGCGGTGCCAATGTTTCCAACCTACACAGCACTCTTGACCGCACAGTTTACTCAAGTTTACTTGCCCTCTTGCGCCCCTTGCGCCCACAGTGTGCTTGCGCAAGACGATAATCGGTCTTCTCCTAGATGGCAAGACGATAATCGGTCTTCTCCTAGATGGCACTGCCCGTGCGGTCGCGCTAGGTCGCGCGGTCGCGCCATCACGTCGCTCCCCCGCTGAAGTTGGCTCCCGCGCTACCCGCGGTACAGTGGACTATGATGATCAGTGAATGTCAGTGGTGATGCTGTTATGCCGTGTTAACTTTTTGCTCGGCATTTTCTGGCCAGCCCCGCGGAATCCGCTTTGCCGCATGCCTCGCCGGCGCTACCGGCGCCGCATCCTCGGGCAGCCTAGGAACGTTGGAAGGCCTGTCCCCGTGAAGTAACCTATCAAGCGCTCGCGTTTGCGCATAATTTTTTTTTTAACCACAATTTTTTTGCGAAGTTGTTTTTTAGAGTTGATATATTTATTGCCTTCTATGGCAATGGCGCTTCGTTATATTGAAATAGCAGCAAAATAGACTTCGTTATATAGAGACTAAAAATACATGGGGTCTATGGGCAAGAAATTATGAAAAATAAAATACTTCGTTAAATCGAGGATTTCGTTACATTGAAGTTCGTTATATCGAGGTTCGACTGTACATCCGATTTGCTATCGATCTTAGGTGGGCTCTCTCTAAGGACATTACAGTTGTAGTTTTGATGACAGCCTTTCAATTCAAGAGATAAACACACAAAAAAGACTGGCAATTGCTCGTTTGCAATAACAGTGTCATCAACACAACTACTGTGCCTAGTGGTACGTGACAACATGGAGGCAGAGGTAAGGACTACTCTCAGCTCCAGAAATACTCGCTTTTGATACTGGCTACGTAACGGCGGGCGATATTTAAAGTCTTAACCCAAGCTGACAAATGATAGTGTCATTAGTCGGTCGGCAATGGACAATGTTTTTGGGGTACCTCGTTCGAAGTTTCAGCCAAAGTCGACGGCAGGAAACTTGACCAACGATGCTAGCGAGAGCATAAGAAACTGTGTGTTTACTCCGAACGAGCCTACGGTCTCCGTTTACACTTCAATCTGTCCCATCTTTGGCTGTAAACTGCAACGTCAGACTAGAAACAGGTTTCCTTAGGAGTGTGATCGCGCAGGTGGCAATAAAAGACTTATAGACCAGCAGCAAAGGTGACAACACCCCAGAGTACACCCACAGTACCCTTCTCAAATGTCTGTCAGGCAACACTGGCGATCGCCACATTTCGAGCATCGCATCGCGGGCAAAGCTCGCAATTGGATCCAGCACATGCTGGGCGCCGACACAGCCGTTGCATTCGATGCACGCTCGAAGCACACGCCCAAAATACGGCGGCCTCAGAGCGACAACTGGCAGGCGTGCACTTCGCAAAAAAGCTTCTCTTCTGCAGAAACGTCCGACACCAATAAGGCCGTGATGTGCGGGGGGCCCACCTTTGGAAACTGGGATCACGCAGGACGTCCAGGCCATTTCCGAAGCATTCGACACGCCGTGCGCAGCCACGGCAAACTGGTACACCTTGTCCGGCTCGAGCTGCAGCAGGGTGGCAGTCACGTTGGGGGGCAGCCTGCGCCACTCCAGCGACTGGTTGCAGCTGTACGAACGGGGCAGCATGCGCGGGCACCAGAACACTGTGTAGCCTGGAGATGGAGCCTCGGCCTCCTCGAAGCCGGAGCTCAAAGCGGGGGAGGAGCCAGACAGAACGCGGCCCGTCACTGGAGGCCTCCAGGACACCTCGTACTCTCCGGAAGACAGTGCCATGACCTTGATGTCTTGCGGAGCATTCATCACTGTGACGAATGTATAAAAAAAAAGCATGCGGTGTCACCTCAACACATCAACACAGAAATGGCGAAAATTGATGGTCTCTATGGTATACCCAAAGATGCTCTCTATATGAGAAGCAATTGTGGGTCTTCTTAGACGTCGTAGCGCCGCACGCTGGATCGCGCCACAACGTCCGTGACCGTAAAAAAGCATGTGGTCACGTGACCTCAAACATCGGGTCACGCGATGTCAGTGTCCAGTGATGGCGTTACAGAGTCGTGTAACGTCGCAGTTCGACATAACGTCCCGGTGTCACCTAAAAGATGACGACCCGAGTCTCTTCGCTCGGGACTGGTCATCCTACCAGCAACGCCAACTGTTTTCACGCAGTGACGTCACGAGCGCGACAGAACCGCCAACAGCCACATCCTGGGCTTGGACGAAAAACCCCCCCGAGAGCCAGCCCAATAAATGCTCCGCATTTAAAACAACAAAATGTGTTTCGAAAGCGCGTCGAGCGAGGTGGACACTCACGGTCGTCGTGCCGGTCCACGCGCATGCTAGAATGAACCCTGGAGAGGCCGTTCTCGTTGAGGGACCAGAGCCGGAACTTGTAGGCCGCGTTGCGAAGGAGATTCTCGAAGGTGACGGTGGGCACCTGCGACGTCTTGTTCTCGCACCTGTCCTCCAGTGGATTCTCCTCGCAGCACTCCACCAGGTACTTTAGCATGGCCCCGCACCAGTGCTTCCTGGGAACCGTCTGCAATGGGACGAGGAGTAGAGAAACAAGCCTCTGTTAGCAACATTTCCAGCAGCAAGAAACAGTGCGATAGCTTCTTATGTGATGATCAAGATGTGTGAACTAAGAAACCCGTGAGCATCTAACTCGCTAATGTTTTATGGCGTCACGGTAAAGCACGAAGAACCAGTGTCAGAGCAGTGACACATCACAGCTTGGCTATGCGGAACGAATGCTAACGCAAAGATTTGAACGTCGTTAGCTAAATTCCTGCCCCCGCCTGCCTCAATACGGATAATTTACTGGCAGAAAAAGAGAGGAGGAGGCCAACTGCCAAGATCGGTTTGTGCGTCATGGCAACACTATCTTTTTGCAGGACGCAAGGTATTGTCCCCCAAAGGAAAATGCACGGGGACTGGTCTACAGAATACCCTGCAATGACCGTGGCGCCCTGTACAATGAGGAAACGAAAAATGACATGGAAGGTCCATGCAGGCATCGTTACAAAGGAAGTACAGAGAAATGCGCTAGCAGAACACGTTGAAAAGACCAGCCACACCGTCGCCTCGAACAGCACTGTCCTTGACACAAGAAAAAACTGGCACAGTCAGCTCTTTGTTAGAATCCTGGTACATACAAAGAATGCAAGCTATAGTAATGTCGACCAGTCTACATGGACACTGCATAGTAGATTTGAGAAGCGCCCAAAAAAAGCAAGGACAACAAAAAGAACTGGACAAAGCAATGCGCATTGTTTCGTCCCATTTTTCCGGGTTTCTTTGCGTTTTGTATTTGTGCTTTTTGTATTGTAGATGTACCAACTTGCCCAACTATGCATTCTTTTACAATTTATCTGCACAGTAGCTACACATCTACACATCTCAGATATGATGCGTCGTATAAGGGCGCGTCGGGAAAACCTACCTAAAACAAGCTGTCCCACACGAACAAACACGCGTCACTCGTGAACGGGGGGTCCGAGCTGACCTCCTAGGAGTACTATCCACAACTTTAGAACGAGCAACTTGCATCTGGATGCCAATTCCACCGTGGCTTTTGGTGTGTGCCAATGCTCAGTGCAATGTTCTGCGACGTGGCGGCCATGATAGCCTACCAAGATCAAAACACAAGGGACTCACCTCGAAGTTGAGTGTTATGCTTCGCTTGCTCTGGTAATTCTGCACCTTGAAGCCACTCTCGGATATCCTAGGTGGCGAATCTGGCACTACAATCGCAAAGAAAAAGAAAGCAAACAAACACAGTCTTTAGACACAATACCAGACAACCCAAAAAAAGCTATCTCCAAATATTTTATGTTTTATTTTTCTATTAGATGAGAATGGCCTCAGAATTGTGCAGGTTTCGTAGAAAGATTCACAGTCAGAGCTCTAAAAATGCGCATAAATAAATCTGACCATCGTCTTCATGGCAGGTACGAGAACTCCAGTTGAGTATTTGGACGATTTCTTTTTATATAATTGCACTCGCGAAAAACGTCAAATGGTGACACTTCCCAAACACTAGGATAAGAAAAAGCAGGACATTTTTGACAAAAAAGTACCATTTTAGAGGTTGCCAGTACATGAGCCCTTTGTTACCCACGGGACGGGTTCTTCGAGAATCGTTTGTAAGTTTTTGTGAAAGGCAGTTTGCAAAGAAATCCTCTTAATCCCTCTAACGTTTGTGAAAGGTCACAAAGACTCACCATCCGACAGGGTCTCCTGCACCAGGAAGACGCTCTCAGTCCAGAGCTCCGCCATGACTGCCCTGGATGCCCTGGCCCTCAGTCGGAAGGTGTAGTTGGTGTATGGGGTCAGGCCTTGCACCATCAGGGACGTCTTGTTCAAAATGTGCATCTCCTAGAGAAAAATTTTTTTAAATAAATGAATTACTTGTTTTTTGCAATATGTGCAAAGAAACTGCGGCAACAGCCAGGCGGCTGAAGACAGTCAAACTGCTGCGTTTCCATTAGGAAGACTTGTGTCTCGCCGAATTTGGCGGACGGTGTTCATGCGACACTTTGACGTCGTGCAACACTACATTCTCACCAAATTTGACAGAGAAATTTGTCTTCTCGGCTTAGCAAGGAAATTTTCAAGCTACATTTAATCCTTTCATGGTCACTGACGTACCTGTACGTCAGCGCAGGAGCGTTCCGCATGGTTGCTGACATACCAATATGTCTGCGACTGCTCATTCAAAAATTTGCGCCTCTGCTTGAACGGGCGGGTTCGCGGGGACGTGCTGCCATCTGGTGGGTTTGTAAGGAACTACGACCACATAACTACGGTCGTGTTTGTTTTGGCGCGGCCCTGAGTCGGATGACAGCTCGATATCCCACAAACAACTGGAAACCAGCTCGGTTCAGAGTCCGGAGTCTGACACACAGCCGCACCGTCTGCTAGATCGTCTGAGAAGCGGGCGCGTCAAAGTTTTAGTCTTTTTTGTTTTGTTCAGCCTCCAACGAGTGTGCCGCAGATGTTTTGAACCGTGTGTACTATTTATTTTAAGTCTTACATTATTTTATGCAACAATAAACTAGTGTATGCTCTTTGCTATCGCATCGAGTAAAAAGAACCCGACCAGGGGGCGCGTCTCTGTCGCAGGATCCGCTGCAAAACCTTGCCTATGACTGCCATTGCCATAAAAGCACCGTTGCATTTATTGCGGGCATGACAATAGGGACAGAACCATCCCCACTCTTGCTGACGAAGCTGTACCGAGCTCGAGTAAAAGAGTTTACTGCATGCACTGAGCCAAACAGCAAAGAGAACATGTGTCACCAAGAGGGTTGAGGATATTTGGGCTCAAGTAACTGTCATGCTACATTAATATGAACAATGCTAATACGGACACCCCACTGTGTAGACGTTTCCGGGGATGAACTGGGTAAATACAGTTGCCGACCGATTTTTCGGACGCTGATTTTCCAGACACATCAGATTTTTCGGACGTTTGTGCCAAACCATCACTCACCCCCTAGAGTTAATGTAAACATTGACCAAAATTTCGGACACCATAAAGCTTATCGCTCGATATTTCTGACATAATTTGCGTGATTTCCTGAGTTTACAGCCACAAAACAGCGGCGGCGAGCTTAGTCACTGCTTTTTTGGTTGTTTTGATTTTGCCCTACAGCCTCAACACCATGAACAAGCTGGGTTGAGACTATAGTCAGGTTTTCCGGTTCCACTATAGCCAACATGGCCGCCGTTTGCCCATTCTAATGTCTCTTCCACTTCTTCTCGTGGTCAGCGTTTTTCGAATGCGACTGCAGAAAGAGCGGCCGCCTGCCGTTCTTGTGGTCTTTCAGCGTGAAGGTTTTTGCTGATAGCCTCAGTATTGAAGCGAGGTTGGTGGACTAATTGTTGTCGACAAATGGTGCCAAATGGCGCCAAGCTCAACTTTGCTGTTTGTGCCTTGCACTGTGATCAAACAGATCAACAAACAAGTGAAAAGTGAACAATATACAGTATAGACCACTTACAATGTAACCGCTTATAGTGCAGGACCGGGTACAATGCGGCTTTTTTAAACCACCAGTTCGCCTCCCATAGAACTCCATGTAATTATATACCGCTTAAAATGCAGGCGCGCGAAGGGAAATACCGGTTATAGTGCGGTTTCTGGAACAGCCCGCCGACCGCCCAGCGCAGCGAGCACGCTTCCGTGTGCGACACTACATAACGGCGCTAGCCGCAAGCAACACTCGCGGGGCAAGGAGGTCGCTCGAAGAAGCGGGGAGAAGCGAAGAGAGAGGCTTCAGTTGCCATAGCGATGGAGGGACGCACGCACGTGTAGATCACGTGCGTGCGTCCCTCCACTGCGTTGGATGGTTGCAAACAACCGCAACGACAGACCAATCGCAGGTCCAAGAAAAGTGTTCGCGTGCATTGCGGGCCGGCTTCTTCTATCAGCAAACATGGCGTCGGTTGTGATCCTCGACGTAGACGGCGTGGCGGAACCTCATTGTTCCGCGCAGAAGCGCTATCCTTGACTGTAAATTTTCGTGGTGTGTCGCTATGATAACCCAGCACGTACTAGAATGGAAAATCCAGCTACTCGTGCGGCGATGTCGTGGCGGCACTCTCAAGACGGCAGAAACGCCCGTGTCGTCGTGTTTGTTTACTTCGACTGCAGTGGACCTTTCTAAGCATCTGTGTCCTCGATCATCGCCCAGATTTCTTATTTGGAGCATTTCATGCCTGTGCTCAAGTTGAAGGTATTACTGGCACGTAACGTATAAAGGATGCGAATTTTCAAGCGTTTTCATCACCGGAGAAAAGTGATTAGGGTTAGCGATCCTGAACGCTCGCAATGTCTGTCCGCAACCCGCGACGCCGTTAAAAGGCTGCGCAAGGCAAAAGTCGCTCATTTCTTTCAAAATGTGTGACACACTACTAGTCTGGTGAAATAAAGACTTTCCTCAGACTAAGCTTTATCTTTCATCTAACATAAAATAAATTGTTTTACAAAGGTAGTTGTCTCATGGCATGTATTTTGGCCTGAAAAATTGATGTTTTGGTTATAGCGCGGTACCGCTTATAGTGCGGATTTTCGCGACTCCCGCGACATAGGTTATATGCGGTCTACACTGTAAAAGGGAAGTTGCACAACAACTTAAAATTGGCATGAAGCAAGTGGAAAGTGGCCAATACGCAGCGGAATATGTGCGGAAATTTGATATTTTGGTTGAAATTGATTTTTCAAACTGCTTCATTATTTGGACAATTTCGGGGTCCCCTCCAAGTCCGAAAGATTGGCCGGCGACAGTATATCCACTTTTGTCTAGTTATTGTGGACGATTCACAGTAAGAAGGATTTTATGGGGGGCGGGAATGAAACTGTCTATAGTAACACAACACTGTATTATGCAGAGGAATAGTTCAATCACGCTTAAGGAAATTCCAAAATAAAAGTAGATGAAAGAGAACCTATGAACCCCTCTTCGTTGTACAGTGATCTCGTCAGAATGACAAAGAGTCCCGTGCCCAGCGACGCGTCGCATTTCGAAGCGTCCTATTGGCTACAGCAACTTTTTACTGCTTCCTTACAGCCAAAGCTTATCCCCAACGAAAACAAGAACTGATTCCTGTTCCATGGTTTCCAAATGTGGGGCTTCATTCTCGGTGGAAGACTGCCTCACAGGCACTCCAGTGTATGGGCTTTGCTACCTTTCTGCCAGCCGCACACACCCTACCGTCTTCTTACATGATTAGAGATTAACGTTAACATAAAGAATAGCCAGCCAGAGATAAAAGTCATTTCATGGTCTCCTTATGGCATGCTAAATGTGAAAGGTCTCCTCTGGAACCTAGTTTGAAAACCACTGAGGATGCCACCACAAATGAGAATGTCATGTCGACATGACACCATAGTGATCGGCCGATGACATTATACGCACCTTCCACTCATCCTCGTACTGGGACAGGTAGCCGATCTCGTAGGACACCTGAAGTTTTCGGTTTTCGGCCTGCTCCGCCGGAGGGCTCCAATCGACAGTGATGCTGCGCTCCGTGACAGCGCTCCGCCTAAACTCCGTGGGCTCAGAAATTTTCACTGTGGGGCAACAAAAAAGAAAACAAAATGACTCCTCACCTTGCCACGCCGAACTAACTTACAACGGGCGAAAGTTACGCGGTAAAATTTAAAAATTTACAAAGAGGAGCCAATCTAGGCGCGACGGTCAGGAATTCAGGAAGGCCTTAAAATTGCAAGAACTGTTAAGCCCCAGCTTCTGTAAGAGGACAGTACTCTGCCTGCCCTCCTCTCTCAACAGGCAGGAGCGGTAAAGGTGGGAAAGCAGAGATCAAAGGAAGATTGAACTCCCAAAAGTCACTAAATGAGCTACGCTTGTAATATCGGCACTCCGTTCCCCGATATTGTTGTGGGCGCCGCCATCTTGGTGCTTGAGCAGTGCAGATGCAACTGCCGATACTAACAATTCAAAAGTGCAACTTCCTCAGCATTAGATTCGGTGTTAAGAAGTGTAATATTGCCTTGCTCTGTCACAAACTGTTTAAACATTTGTGGAGGGCGGAAAAGAATTTCCTGCGATTTCAGATAAAGCTTCAGATAACTGGCAACCATGATTTTAAGCCCCAAGAAGGGTAAGTGTCGTTAGTCTGAAGCATAGCTTATTTAGTGGCTCCAACGTTCCGATCTCAGAGTCAACGTCTCCAGATAGGAGCCTGTTTCAAAATACAACAAAAAATATAACAATACAAAATTTTTTTTTTTTTTTTTTTTTTTTTTTTTTGCATGGAGTTTATTTATTGTTGTATATATCCAGTCCACTCACTAAAAAAGAAACGGTTTTCGGGGAGTTCAGTGTCCCTTTATGGAAGGACCACGAGGCTTCGTGAACTCCCTGCTCGGATATCAAACTCGTTAGAACGAGTTCGGTCTCATTACATTCCTTTTTTCGCGAAGAAAGCGAAAGTGGACACCACCCAGCAGACGCTGCACCAATAGACCTTATGCATTTTTGGTGCTGCCTGTCGGCATGTTGCCAGAAATACCGGGATGCAAGCCTCAAAGATGGCAGCCTCTTTGTCTGCGTTTCGACCCAATTCTGGATTGTTGGTTTAAAAAAGGACATTCTTGCAGGCTGACATTTGACAAGGTCTGTTAAAGATCACAGTATCCAATGGTCAAGTGTTCGTTAAATTCCTTGCTTTTAAACTAGCGAAAAGTATTACTAAGGAGGGACACTACCTGGGAAAGTCAAGTTTTGAACCGCTCACTCAATCGGCGTGATATTTGCAGGTGGTGTTTGTAGACTTATAGAAGTTGGTCATGCAGAGTTTCACCCCTGTGAACCAATTTTACGAGGTACTATACCCCCAGAACAAAGTAAAGCATAGCTTTGCATAGAATCTTCTCAATGAATCTACGGTATCTTTGAGAAATGGTGTAGATAACCACATATTTTTCTGGTGGAATGGATACTGGAATACCTGCTGCCAGTTACTATGAAAATTTCAGGAAACATGCCTTTTCCAGGTACAAAAATATTTTATGAAAATTTTTTTTTTAACATTTACCAAGTTTAGCAAATTACAATTTTTCATAATAAAGGAACATGAAAATACAAACTCTAAGTTCATAGTAAATAAAATTTCGGCATATAAACTACAAATAGTAAGTCTCTTGATAGTTTAATACTGATATGACAGTTTTATTAAAGTGAAAGTTATGCTAAAAAGTGGAACGAAGAAAAACATGTTTCAAAATGCTCAAACTCTATGTTTTCTTTAGCATCAGAGGACTGTAAATAATTTATAAAAAAATAACTATGCCGTGTAAACAAATGAAACCTGGGAATACTCTCTAGATGTTGGTGCATGTAAATGTGCCATTTTTCAGAATCGGCCTTTTTTGCAGCAATTTCTTATTCCTGGGTAACGTATCCCTTAAACAAAAAAAGAGCTATAAGACGCGTTCCGCCAATTTCGGGGTTCATTATACAAATGCGCAGCTTCACGATTTTGCCGTACAAGGCGCTACTTACTGTTGGGCAGGAGTGCAGGGATCAGAAGTGATGTAAGCCTGGCGACACCGGGAAACATTTCGTATCAAGAAAAAAGCCCGACGGAGGAAATTCCTTAAAGAGATTCGTGCAGATCAGCGAATCTTAGAGTCCGAATGCGAACGCTGCCTCAGAGGCACTCAAGCTCGACGAGAAACGCATGAACAGGTAGGTTGCCGCGTCGCTGCGATCTAGATGCATTGCTTTCTGAGCGGCCCCCTACTGCGTCCCAAAAATAAGTATGGCGCACCGCCATCCTTGAGGCAGTTCGAATCATGTTTGCGATAGATGGCGCTGCAACTATGAATGAGTTGTATTATCCGACACTGCCATGGCTTGGGCATGCACTCCAGGCGTCTATTAGACACAAGGACTGCGTCGACGTTGGGCGCAAACTCTGCTCAGCCTGTACAGAAAACGAGCGTTGCGTCGGCGTTCGGCAAGGACTTGGATCTAATCGCATGCTTTGCGCCCAAAAAACGACGACCGCCAACGTTGCTCGACGGAGTCTCGAAAGGAGACTGTTCGAAACAGAGCACGGGCAACAGTGCAAAAACGTACGGATCTCCAGGTGGTCGTAGGTGTAGGACCAGTTGCGAGAGCCCAGTGCGTTCCATCCGGTCAGGATGAAGTGGAACCTCGGGGCCTCCTTGCGGTACAGCGGCTTGTCGCTCAGGTTCCACGTGCACGACGACGGCGTTCTGAGCTCCTTGGTCGTGGGGCACTCTCGATAGGAACCCTCGCGCGACCTGGAACGCACAATTGGATACGACACGAGGTCAGGAAAACGCCTTCACATTATCTTCACCCTTGCATAGAGCAAATTAAGGAAGTTGGTCATCTGCCCTCGACGGAAAACATTTTCTGTTGTCAAATGCTTGTTCACGTACGAATGATTGTTTGAATGAGTAAATAAAACAATCCTGGCAACTATAAAGCTTATCAGTTATCCACAACTCCATTCGCTATGCAGATCGTAAGTAATAACTATGAAACCAATATTTGCCGCACAAACACTCGTTTGAAGAAGCACCTGCTTGCAGAAAGCTTAATACGAGAATATTTTGGCAATGCTAACTTATTACCCAATTAACTTTGGGTATGCAACCTTACCCAATGTTTCATTTGCACTAGCTTTGCAGAAACAAAATGTCGGCTAACTCTGCGGTTATTCGTCAGGTTGTGTGACAAGTGACTAGAAGATACGAGAGGCGATGACAAAATATGCACACATACACCATCTCCAATATTTTCCAGATGGTGTATGTGTAGGTACTTTCCCAAGCTCGGTGTTAGAGCGCTTTTTAACTATATACATATCTCTGCAGCTCACTCTGCAAGATGAGCGCAAGTGATTAGAGCTCTTGGCCGTCCTCGGCACACTTTCACGATGATGTGTATATATAAACAGGCCGGAAATAAACAGGCCGGAAACGCTACTGCAAAACTCCCGGATCGGAACAATCAAACTACTCACTCTATCGGTCTAAACATCTCTCGCAGAGTGTAATTGGACCTGACGCTCGCTTCTGGAATCCTCCACGAGCACGTCAGGTTCCTATAGAGGTAGCTGATGCACTTGAAGTCCTCCACTTGCGACGGTTTCTCTGCAAACAACGTAAGAGAATGTTACCTCGATGGACAGCTGCATTGGTTCCGCGCATTCTTAAACGGGGCAAGAGTGACGTGACACGCAGTAAGATCAGCTTTCGAAGTGCCCCGCGTTTGTCTTTTTTGCCCGTACGCACCAGCCTTAGAAATGCGACCTCCTATTCCAAGGTGGTAGGCTGCACTTGAAAATCAAACAAAGTGGCGTACACTGATCCGGGTAGCGTAAGGAAACAAAAATACACCAACAGGACTAAAATGTCAGGCAGGTGCCACAGTTGTCCCACCACCAGCACGGGCTTCCCATCTTCAACTGGCATCTCGTCCGCTCCGAGCCCGTTTGCACAGCCAAAACACAACGAAACGCCACGAGTGTGCGGTGGCAGTTGGGCATTTGGAGTGCAAGTTTGTCTGCTTCTTTTGCGGGGGGTTGTGGTGACGAAAGAACGCTGAGCTCAGAGTGGCTCTGATTAAAGGATAGTGGGTGAACCTCAAGGCAGCTTGCACCGAGGTCTACCCACTATCCTTGAATCAGAGCCAATCAGAGCTCGGCTAACTGTCGTCACCACAACCCCTGCAAAAGAAGCAGACGAACTTGCGCTTCGCACTGGAAAGGGGATCCTCTGCCGTCTTCATCCTGTCAGCGAATCCAGAGCGGACAGGGGACACTTTATTTTTCATTCTCTTACACGGTCCCCAAATCAAAATCTGTCAGCGAATCTAGTGTTGTACAAACGAGACCAAGTGGAGCACAAAAGGTACAAATTCTCGTCCTGCCGAATCTGTTTTAGCACGAGGCCTTTTATGTCTCCTCTCCACCGTCGGAACGCATTCTTGGACCAGAGTTGTTGTGGCGCGACCGCAAAGGCGGATGACCTACCTCCGACGGTGACTAACGTTGCGCAGACGTGGAGGGTGCGGTCGGGGACCCTCAGGTTGCAGTAGTAGGTCCCGGTGTCGCTGTACTCGGCACTGTCCTTGCGGAACAGGATGGACGAGTGCCCGTAGATGAGCCGGTCTTGGGGCACGTAGCTGTCGTTGAACTTGAGCGCGAGATGACTGCCATTCACTTCGTACGTCGTGTTGCCGCCGAAGAGGCTGGGCAGCGAGAACTTGGACACGGTCAGGGTGCAGTTCAGCACCAGGGGGTCTCCCACTTTCAGGCTGAAGTCCCTGGGCATGTCTGTAGAAGAAGAACTTCGTTTTTTTTCCATTCAAGCACACAAATGGCAGAAGCGAGGGCAAGAAATACCAGATTACAGTGAAATCTCGTTCCAACGAATGCCACCTTAACAAAGTTTTGAGAAATTACGAAAATTTTGAAAATCCCCTCCCAAACGCCTATACTAGCAATGTAAAAAATATTTCAATATTACAAAATTCAAAATAATGAACACTTCATAGTAACGTACGTAATTTATGCGCTCTCATATGTGAGCAACACCTCACTATTACGAATTGATAGTGTGAAATTCGGCCACTTCGTGGCATGGGCGCCTCCAACCGACAATTACCATCATCATTAGACACATTTGATATGCAGCATATACTGCGTCCGTTGTATCACCGTGCAGCTGTTGTTTTCTTTTATCGTGTTGCGAAGTGAACCCGCAATGAGTTTTGAGAGCGGCAAGAAGAAGCGGAAGCTATTTTTGCTACAAGATAACGTTGACATTCTTCGCGAAGTGGATGGCGGCAAGAAACAAATAGAGGTTTCCCAAGGACGTGGCATTGCCCCGTCGTCTGTTGCAACGATACTGTAAGATCACAAAAAGATAACTGAGTCAGATCATCGACGGCATCGAATCGTTCATGCTGCAGCGCTCGTCTTGCACCCGCCAAACGAAGACGACAGATGTTTTCAAATAAATATACAGTGAGCATTTGCGTGTTGCATTTTGTGCGGCTGTCAGCATGGATACATTAGCTGATGTCCTCATTGCAAAGGTGGGTAAATCTGCAAGTTTTTCTTTATTACAATATTTCAAAATAACGAATTACAATTGGCAGTCCCACGATATATGTTATACCGAGATTTCACTGTAACAGCTTGACGAAGCCCCCTTGCTTCCATCTGCACATTTGTAGACGTTGAGCGTCGTGGAATTACGCAAATATGATAGAGGGTCTCTCTTTATGCCGTGTCCTTCCCGTAAGAGGTAACCCACCCTAAACCAAAAACTACTAGTGCGAAATGCTGCGCAAATGCGTCCGTTACGATCCAAAAATGCCTTTTCGTATATTAGAAACGGCCCAAGAGACTACCCTATGTGTTTAAAGCATTATGGCGAGTCTTTCTACACAGCCGTACCCCCGCCTGTTACGAGCTGGAAATACTTTGTCATACATAAAAAATGGCCCAAGAAACTGCTCCGTATGTTTAACGCCATGTTTTTATATGACATGCGAGTACCCGTAAACCTAACTTTACTTTGCCATACTCCGTTTCAAGTCTGGAAGGACCGCAGAGGACGCTACTAGCCATCAAAGCCAATCCAACGCCATGAGAGTGTTGGCATTTGGGAGGGGTGCAACGATGTGCAGGGCACGCAGTCACGCGACACATTGACAGTGCTGGATTGGCTGGAACGGCTTGCAGTGTCTGCTGCAGTCCATTGTTAGGTGTGACGGACTAGAGTAAAACACGAATCCAGGCAAATCAAAGGCTCATTCGCAGAAGTAGCTCTTCTCTTTAGCAAAGACAACTGGGAGATACATACTTCACCAAGTGACCAGCTAAAACAAGGAAGACAGAGAAACCAAAATGTGCTGCAAAACTCACCTCCAGAGATGGGAGAGAAGATAGAACGGCAGGCTAGCAGCCATACTCGTGGACACAAGCAGAGCAGGACAAAGAAGCTCGCCGTGAGACATTGCGTCCAGGACATCTCGGACTCGTGCTGGTTGGCGCCCCTCGCCCTATGAGCGGAGGCACTCTAGTCCCCTGCCGCCAATCACGCGCCTGGCGTGCACGCCGGGGAAGCATCCATCACGCCGAGCACCTCACACGGTTCTCGATGGTTCTGCATAAGGTAAAGAGATAGAAGAGTCTCAGTCGCAGCAATTACAACAGTTGTGGATCTCCCTATACTTTGTTTCATACGTGAAAACTACTGGACTGACTGCAAAAGACCAGATTGATTGTTAGTTTCATTTATCCCGATGGCACTCTACATGGTTTCATGTGGTCGTTAGTATGCAGAAACAAGAAAAAACGAATGGCATACTCTACCATAAATGCTGTGCATCCAGACATAACCGAGGAAGCTACAGAAATACAGAACAAGTTGTGTTGAAAAAAAACAACAAAAAACTATAAGCTTTTAGGCACTGCACAATAAACAAACACACCTCACATTCCCAGACAGTCAGATGCTCTCAATACGCCACCTTCAACTACAGCGTTCCATACTCCAGCTTGGCAGACGCAGCTGGTGCCGTGCAGTTACAAGAAATCGGCGGTTCTCAAATGGGGCTCCACGAACCCTTTGAGGTCCCCGGGCGCCTATTTAGCCCCGAACCCTCGGTCATTGGTCAAGCTGAGCAATAAAACATTTTTTTTATTGATGCTGGCTGTTCCAGAAAGTTGAAAAACCAAACCATTTGTGCCGAGTGAGTAAGGTTGATTATTCTTCGTGTCAGGACTTCAAAGTCGGTTTGCACACATTTCGTTTTTCTCGCTTACCCTTTTGTAATTTTCGTAGTCGTTCAATACGCCACCCCACTCCCCACCACTCCCCTACGGGTAGGGTCCCCCATCACTTCTGCCAATCCAGAAGGGTTCCCCGAAACGTCAAAGTTTAAGAATCACCACAGTAGATGCTTCACCTTGAGTGTAAGCCTTCTGCCTCTGATAACACTTTGTCACATGGGCAGCCAGAGTGAGTGCATGCTGCACTGGTTGCCTTCTACTGGGTGCCTACTGGGTGCTTAACCTCTCACTGTCTATATAGGTTCCACCAGTCGGTCACACTGCACATCCAGGCGCCCCCAAGCAGCAATGTTCATTCTGCAACTCCGCTTGTTTACAAACACTGACCCCCACAAGGTTAAGGGTAGCCCCGCCCACTCGCCAACCCACCTCCTTCCGTAAGGTACGCACACGTACGTGATCACGGTAGGCCCGTTCCTGCCACCGACAGGGTTCACAGCAGGCCTAGCAGGACATGCCAATTTTCCCCGAGGTGAATAACATCCGTCGGAATGCTGCCCTTCCGATAAGTCGGCTCCGGCGTCACGGGCTCCGATGCAAAAACGGCAGGCACAAACTGCCCAAGGGAAGGCCACGGCCTTGTGGTAAGGCGGGCGAGAAGCCAACCTCTCCGGACCCCTTTCCCAAACCCGTTCCACCTGTTACCTCCTCCGAAACTTCCTCGAGTAATTCCACTGGCTCTCTTTTCCTCCCCCTCGCCCTCCCTGGAGACCCGTCTTGCCATGGCACACATTTTACGAGCATGCCTCCGGGACCCCCGCCCCTTTTTCTATATGCCTGGGCGGCAGGGTCGTAAAAAAAGGTTTCTGTAAAACTAACTGTCGAGGCGAGGCTACCACTTGTCTTTAGTTACATAGACAAAACAGGCTGTTTCATAATGAGGTCATGTACAGGGCCAACTGTGGTGGCAAGGTCATTTGCAAGACACGTTAGCTTCCGTCCGAAACGTTTCTTAAAGCGTCTTGGTGAAGTGCGACACTTTGGAAGTCGCAATTTCAAATGTGTCCGCGACCTTGAACCTGTTATCTGCCAGTACATGAAATGTTGTATAGTGCGACTCATACAGAGTGTGGAATGCAGAGCGCAAGTTTGTCTGCTTCCGGCAGAGGGGTTGCAGTGACGTCGGAACACTGAGCTCAGACTGGAAGGTTAGTGGGTAGATCAAGGCAGCTAGCATTGAGGTCTACCCACTATTCTTCAAACAGAGCCAATCGGAGCTTGGCATTGTGATGTCACTGCAACCCCTGAGCAAGAAGCAGACAAACTTGTGCTCCGCATTAGTTCCTGTGTACAGTGCCAAAATAAATATCGAGGACTACATGCAGAGGCGTCTCTAGGGTGAGAGCCCTATATACTGGGACAGTTTGGCCGAAGGGCGGAACCTGTCGCCCGCTAGAACAAGCGGACTTTACGATAACACAAAATGAAGGATTTTGCTTATGGCCACTCTATTTATGTATGCTAGTCCAAATGTGCAGTTAGGAATTGTTTTATAAACACAATTTCTTGTACTCTCACATTGTGTTATCCCTGCAATTGGTCACTATATTCAAGCACTAACCATCCTTTATTGATCTCTAAAAACGTAACTTACAAATAAGCTTTATTTCTTTTGGTTTTAAATCGAAAGTAGGCTTTCTCAAACAAAAATTAATTTGGCGTTGAGCACAAGGGTTTGCAGCACCTCTCCTTGATGGCGCCCGTCACGGCACTGAATTTGAGAGGTGGTAATTTTTGAGACCTAATATTATAACTATTCAAAATTCATTTTTCACAAAAGAGGAATAAGTTTAAGCTCATATAAGTTTGAGATTGTAAAAGATAAGTAAGTTTGAGCTGCTATGTGTGCAACACCAAAAACACTTACATTAGCGATAAACACTTCTATTACAATGGTGGGTCACAGCATACCTTGCACGCCTAATCCAGAGTACGTTTGAAATTCGATAACACACAAAGGCAGAGGCCACTTCCTGGTTGCTTTACTTCCAGCTGTAGTCGCTGGACCCCCCCCTATCAAGATCTTCAAAAGAGCGCCAAACTCTCCCAGTATAAAGGGCTCCGATTAGGGTCAGCAGCGCCCTAATTGAGGGCCCCCCGACTCCTACCATTCGGCATCCACTTCTGGCAGCGGTATCCCTCGTGACAAGTGCCTTTCGATTCAGATGACGACAAGGACATAAACCTTTCATCGAAGAGCGACAGCGAGGCCACTTAAGTGTTTTACTTTAGCTCTGACAACTCGGGTTCTCGTGAAGACATTGTGTCGGCCTGTCGGCACTGGACGAGAATCAATGTGGAAAAGCCTCCCCCCATGCCTCTGCGTTTTCACTAGGCAGGGCATGAACAATGATGTAGCAGGCTATGCAAACTGTTTACACTACTTTGAACTTAAATATAAGTGTATATATATATATATATATAGATATGAACTTGAATATAAAATATAAAGAAATCAATAAATTTGTATAGTTTTTTTTTTTTTAATTATTGAGGTAGGCAAGGGGTTAATGCACCACAGCTCAGAACATGTAGAGCAAAAGTTTGCGCCGCAGAACCCAGATATCCTGGGCGTAATTCCCATGTCTGTCCATTTCTATCAAGATGAGTATGTGTTTGTGCATTACTACTGCGTGATGCACGTTACAGACCAGCAGGCTAGCGGTCGCACTGCACTAGCTAATTTCTCGTCGACAGCTGAGACATTAGATGCCCATTGGGGCTGACGAACATCCCACAGTCTAAACATACACACGACAAACGTTGTCAAACGCGTCATATAATACAATGCAATCATAATTTCCTTTGCCTTTCAATACAATTTAAAAAGGTGATGCAACAATTTTTATACTTTGTACAAATACCGCTTAGAACAGATCCCCAACGTTAATGAGTCATAAAACACGTGTTTGTTTTTCCCCCCACGCAATAGAAACCCCAGAAAAAAATTAAAGAAAAACGAGCAGCGCTCACCCCCTCAACTCGCAGCCAGAACAAGCGGCCACGTGATCTGGAGCCGATTATATTCCACCAATGTTGATCATAGCCACGTGCTAGGGTTGGCAAAGCACAGGACACGCGCTGAGTTCCAGGCATTGTTATGCCTCGGCTAATGTCGTCGTTGCAGCGATTGGACACGGGGCCCCTACCCGAATGCTTCTCAAGCTAGTAATTATCACAAGCCCAAATCGAGTGCCCATGCAATGCTCAGGTCCAATCTGTGAACCGCATTCAAATATAGTCATTGGGGTGTAATGCAATCCCCACGTTATGTCATCAAATTTTGCAAAGGAGAGATTGAATGAAAACGATCGCTTTTGTCCTTGAAATTACACCGTAACAAACGAGCTTCTTGGCCAGTGGTGTTGTATGCAAGTATCCTTGAGCCCCACTAGTGCCAGTAAGCTCGTGTAAAGTGAAAAACATTCCAATTGAATATCGTTGCACCGCTCCTTTAATGCACATCTAAGCCAGCAAGAAAAGAGGCAAACCGTGCCTAACCCCTACACGCCCCGCCGCAGGACGTTCACCCTGTTTACACCCGAACCATCCGAGCAGCCACTGCCGCGATCAAGAGAGGCACCCCTTCTGGATGCTCTCAAAATAAGCGCGCCCAGCCCACATTCCCCCTCGCCCAAATGTCAACGTGCCCCAGACCCAGCCGGCACAAACACGCGAGAAGCGGAGATCACACAGATCCTCCCCTGCTTGCTCGCGAGCAAACATACCCTGACAATACCTGCCTTGCGTCAATGCGAGAAAAAGGGCCAGGGGGGAGCTAGGCTTCCAGAATAGATCTCTGCATGCCATTCGAGCGAGCCCAAACAACAACAGAACCAATGGGGCTCAGTGAGTCTAGGACCAGGGATATGCGAAGCAAGACGACACCAACTCCGAAGAGGCCGTCGGGCGATGCAAGTGCCACCGAATCGAGGCAATGAACCGCTTTCAACTGCAGGAATCTGGATCTGGTCCAGTATAAAGGTTCGAGCCGCCCCACCAATGCGGTGTCTTGACGGAAGGTGTTCAAAGGAGCGGAACCATCCGGAAAGGATGTGGGTGGCGCCGCCCCCTTCCTCGCAACCTTCCAACCTTCGAAGGTTCGACGCTATATTTAGAAATGCAAACATGCAGGGGTACTTTTTTTTTTTTTTTTTTTTTTGAAGAGGGGAGGTCTGCATCCGCTGCCAGAGGGATGCCAGCACACTGCCAGGATGGGTTGGACAGCTTTAGGGTCTTTCCAGCTCGTACTGAATCCTGGAGACATTATGCAGAGCAGAGGCAAGAGTCGTGCACTGTCGCCATGGGCTG